TAGGTATTTGCGACGACATGTCGTCGCAAATAGTGTATTATTTGCGACGACAAATGTCGTCACAAATGGGCATAATTGTTGTAGTGCGTAATAAATTCTAATTCAATTATAGATTTTGTAAAAAAAAAATTTAGTGCAAAAACTAAGTTGCGTGACGGTATCCTATACCCTTGTCTCCATCGCCTTCATGTTGCTCTGCTAGTCTATCAGTCCAACCAAGGCATGGGTTTCATACGCGGTTGACCTATAGTATCAACAAACTTGAATCAGTTTTCGCTTAGTAAGTACAAATAACCTCACAAAATATTTGCATACAATAGTTATATAATGATGCATGACGTCTTATGCTCAATTATGAATGCATGTTTAATCTTCTATGGGCCATGTGCTCGTACCGATTGCACGTGAATAATAAGGCGTCGGGTCACAGTTATCTTAACTTTCAAACATTTACCTCTTAAAGAATGCAAAAAATAGTTAAACTTGAAACACTTTACTTTGAATGACTTAAAGAAAAGCCTAGATTTTTTTCTTAAAACATATTATCTTTAAAATTTTTGAACTTCCTCAAAGAAAAATAAAATAACCTTTCGGTTCAACTTAATTATTAAAATCTATGCCGTGAAATAAACTTTAAAAAGAAGTCTAAAATATTCTTCAAATCAAACCATCGTAAACTAAAGTTCCAAAACAGTAAAAATGAAAACTAAAAACCTTGTTTAACATTAAACACTTTCATCCCATGATCGTTTCTCCAGTTTTCCTATCACACACCGCTAGCATCTGCTCCAAGATTCTACATGGCTACATCTTACCCTTTAGATTGTCTGCAACATGAAATAACTTATATAAGTAAGGGCTTAGTAAGACACTTAATTCTCACAAATTTAAATGAACATTTTTATTCATCAACAATAAACATCATCATGAGAATAATTACTTTTGAACACGTTTAAACTTAAAAATCCATCATATATTGGGCCCGAAGTTGTACCATCATAGCGCGCTAGCCACGAAAAGAATGGGGTAGCAAATCCCATACCAACCGTGGCAATAAGACCATTCACCAGTCACCATCAAGGGTGTACAACGTCATTTAAAACATAAAAATACATATATACATTTTTCTTCAAAACTCATCATAAGAGAAATATTAAAAGCGTCATAACATTATCATAAACATCGAAATCATATACTTCTCAATTATTCGATTCATGTTGCAGGTGAGAGTGTACTTACTTGAGCGCCTTACTTAACCTTTTTAAATTTCGTAACGGTGACGCGACGAATGAGGTCCTCGGGTGCTCGCCTCTAGAACCGTTCATGCCATAAATCATAAATAAGATTACTAAAAAGCCTTAATAACTCATCAAATATATTGATCATGTTAAAACAGTGTTTAATATACCATTCTTACCATTCATTAACATCAAGACATAAAAACCCACTGATTACACAAAGTCACAAAACTTAACAAAAACTGGCAGCCTGACCTTTACTAATTTAAAAACTCATAACAATTCACATATAACTCCAAATGACCTGAAAATTTTCAAATTAAAGTAGACATCTAGAGCTTTCCAACGATATCTAATTTGTTAAAAATGGAGTTCGTTTACTCCCTGAAACTCTGTTTTAAAATCAGACACGAAACCTGGAGAAATTTCAGCACTCTATAATCCGAAATTAACCCAAGAAATTCCCTTTAAATCGTCCAAAACTCATCAAAATCATGTATGTCAGCCTATTATATTAACCACAACTCTAACATGCTTCCAACATAATCATATCCGAGAATTATTAAAACATGCGTCATACAACAACTCTCATCAACACTTAACTAGAAATCATATATAACTCAAATAAATCATGGAAACAACCTAAACATGTTTCTAATATTATCCACAATAAAAAAAAATAAAACAATAAATAAAGAAAATAGATGATTAACAATCACATAGGTGTAAAAGAAATTCTAAACATGCCATTCTATCAATCAATCAAAATCATCATCGTGATAAAATTTAAAACTTAGCGATAACAATCTCATGACACTTTCCTCAACAATAACGTCACAACCATCATACACAAAACTATGAAGATATATGAACATCTCCTTCCATCAATAACAAAACACGAAATATCATGATAGGAACACATACCTTTAAAACAATTTTTCTAATATTGTGTTCTTCTTAAAAGAATAAAGGAAGATAATGAAAAATTCTATGGTGGCTAGGGCTCTTGAGAGAAAGTAACAGAGAGAAAGATAGAGAGCGAGAAAGCGTAAAAAATTTTCTAATGGGATGGAGGTGAAAACGTATGATTTAAAAGGAGTATTTTTTTTTCCTTACATTTCCCTCCTCTGACGTCCACGCTAATCCCCCTTTTCTTGCATTGACAATGTAAATGGCTAAATTATATCAAAGGAAACGCTATATATATATCCAAAGCATGAATCTACCCATTTTACTTCTTGTTGTACGCGTATGGGTATATTTGCAAGTTGTGTACTTACTGCCACTAAGCCAAATGCAGAAAGAATCATGCAATATATATCAACTCAATTAAGAAAATTAATTAACTTGAATTGGGTGATTGATGGGCTGTCAATGAGGTAGAAATCGTGTTGCAAATCATGGTCAAAGTTTCTTTATACGGTCATTGACTCCAAAGACATTAAACTAATCCTCACCCTTAACAGTTCATCATAGAACTAATCATCACCAACAAAATGTAATAACATAAACGGTGGTTGGCTATTGATATTTTTCATATATAATATATATACATAGCTATATAATATGTATTTTGTAATACCATATATCCATATAATCTATCAATGGTATTAAATCAACACACATATCCATCAAATCATCACATAAAATTTAACAACTTGGCATGAACTTGTTCTTACACCACGAGTCCTCATCGCGTTCACCTGTAGAAATAACTCAAAGTGATGTTAGAATTCACTAAATATAATACCATAAGATTATTCAAGTTAATTCCTAACGTCTATTTTTAGGAATTTTGTTAGTTAGAAAAATGGGTGTTACAGTCGGGGAGCGACCTAAACATTTAGTCCGACGATACTCAAGGTCTTACTTTAAATATTTGGTTAACCTCCCCTCACCATGAGGCGGAGGAATTTTAATCTCCCATTTCCCAAAGTCGGAGGGTGGCATGACGCTTTATTTTATTATTTTTACCTTAGCCTTTTATTAAAAGTGAATATGGAATTAGGATCATGTCATTTGGACATATTAATGCATATAACTTGAAGAGGAAAACATCATAACATATGCTTCATCATCAATCACAAAAAAATTGTGCATACAAGAAAACAATTCACAAACATATCATGTCATTTTAAAATCTTATTTATGCTGCAACTGAGGTCTGTACTTTTATGGTCTCCAACGAACAAGTATTCTCTACTTGTGATTATAATAAAATCTAATCATGTTTAAAACACCCGTTGAGAGTGTAAGTAAACTTGTATAACCAATAATTGATTTATTGATACTTAATAAGGATTAATTAAAATAAATGAATCAAAGAAAATATTTCGTAACGGACTTAATTAATTACTTATTTGTGGTTAACTATACTCTTAATCAAATAAGGAAACTTTAAATCTAATTTCTTTTCTTAAAATTAATTAACTTTTGTTAATTAATTTCCTGTCTTATTGCAAAGATGCAAGAGAGAGAGTGGCAAAGATATCGGCATGAGAGCTCTCTTTTACTAAATTTAAATAATGGAAACATTACAATGTTTGATAGTGTGCTTAAGTATTTAACTGATTTAATGCAACAGTTATTAGAGGGGGAGGCGGAGGAGGGGAGAGAGATGCCTAATTTCTTAGTAGAATTCATCAAATTCATCAAACAATTTCAACAAATTCATCAAATAACTTGTCTGGTTTAGGAAAGAGCGGAGGAAGAGTGGAGATGGATGGACCCGTCAATATGAACTAATCTTTCAACAAATTCATCAAATTTATTAAATATTATTCTACCCACCAAAAACTCTTTTAGTAGAATTAATAATTTGGTAACTAAATAAATAAATATAATTAATTCTTTATAAATAAATAAATATCCAACTAAAAAGAGCAGAATATACGCAACTTATCATCAAATAATTATCTAACTTTATAAATTGATGACTGAAACTTAGAGAATAGTGAGATTTTCATTCTCTCTTTTACAATTATAAAACTGAAATATTAAGAAACACAAGATGAATACATTATACAAAACAAATTACAAAACTGTTCTTTTTATCTTGATCACTTATTCTATGATTAAAAAAAATAGTTTGTGCGACACAATCTAGATCAATGTAATGACATATTAGTGTCACATATTAATTAAAGATTGGGGTCTCGCAACATGGAACACGCAAGTAGAATCCGCATTTTATTAGTTATGATGCTGAGTATTGTTGATACCACTAAGCATTATTCCACGATCTAGGCAACAATAGGGACACTCTGCAACACCACTGTCTCCACTGTTAGTCCTGGCCCGAACCCAAGCAGAACTCCCCACTCCAATCCGTCACCAGTGGTGCTCTTTTTCTCCTCCAACGACCTCTTCCTCATCTGATTCAGGATAAAAAACACAGTTGCACTTGACATATTTCCATACTCGCTCCACACATTCCAAGTGTCCTTAAGCTTCTCCTTCTCCAGCCCAGCTTTCTCTTCTATCTCTTTTATAATGGAAGCACCGCCAGGATGTGGCACCCAAAACACTGAGTTCCAATCATTAATTCCCAATGGGCCCAATGCTTCTTCCAAACATGTTTGAATGTTTTTGCCAATTATCTTTGGCACTTGCGGAGATAAGACAATTGTGAGTCCGCAATCACGTAAATGTCCCCCTACTGTGTTTTCTGAGTTAGGAAGAATAACTTCCGACGTAGAAACAAGCCGAAATAATGGTCTTTCGACCGACCCTTCATCCGGCACATTGGCACCAACAATCACAGCCGACGCACCATCAGCGAAGATTGCTTGGCCCACTAAAGAAGCACTATCATCCTCCGAGGGACCGCGGAAAGTTGGAATGGTGAGTTCGGAGCAAACAACGAGAACACGTGATCCGGGATTGTTTTCGGCTAAGTCCTTCGCAATACGAAGGACAGTGCCGCCGGCGAAACAACCTTGGTGGTAGAGCATGACTCTCTTGACGGATGGTTTGAGGCCAAGAGACTTGATCAGCTGATAATCAGCGCCGGGCATGTCTACTCCTGAAGTGGAATTGACAATGAGGTGAGTAATTTTGGATTTCGGTTGGCCCCACTCTTTGATGGCTGCTATTGCTGCGCTTTCACCAAGCTTCGGCATCTCCACAAGTTTCAGATCCATACGTGCGTTAAGTGATGGAGCATCATAGGTACACATACTCGGGTTTTCCTTGAGGATATCTTCTGTCAACCTCATGTGCCGCTTCTTTATCAATGATTTCTCACCTGCATGCAATGATATGTGTGTCACTTAATCTAAAATTTTCTATGAAAATAAATGAACTGTAAGGAAAAGTTCGTGGAAGAAAATGGTACACAATATTTAGTTAAAGAGAGCAAATTGATTAGAAATTTATCTCCTGTAAGTGTTTTAATTCTATCTCCTGACGCCAGATGATAACAGGAAAAAATAATAACAAAAAGATATATTATAACTCAAACTAGAAAGAAATTTAACGCCCCAATATTATCTGCTGTAACTATATGATTTCAACGAAACAGTGTTTACGGACCATATTGTAAGATCAAACTACTTAGATTATCCTACAAATTTTAACAACGAAAAACAATGATCGCTTGAAATATATTATGATAAAAGATTGGTTTCTCATTGATTTGCTTACAAATGCGCTTGAACTTTTCTTTCAATTCTGTCTTGTCCTCTGAATTGGTGACTCTGAAGTAGTAATCAGGATAGTCAGCTTGATTGAAGAAGTTATCAGGATTAGCTGTGCCAATTGCTAAAATTGAGGCTACAGCAGGTCCACCTCGTCGGATCACTGGCTGGCTTCCCTCCACGGACACGTTATTCGGCGCCATAGTTCGCTGCTTAAAGGGAACACTGAGTTTAAAAGGTTGAGAAGAGAAGGAATAGATGCAGGATATGAAGGATTTGCACTTGTTTCTCTTGGCTTTTATAGACGTAAGGGTACTGTTATAATCCTTGCTGTAGTTCTGAAATGATGTAATAATTAATCCAATTAATATGGTTTTTAATAAATATTAGTCGATCACGTGTACTAAATATCTTAATTGTACGTGAGAGGAAGTTTCACTTTTTGTCTTTTCTGAAACTATTAGATGAAAACCCGCATTTGGATAGAGTACTGAAAGAAAATATCTGTGTTTTAATTCATTTCCACAGCCAACAACTTGCTTTCCTTTCGGTAGTCAAAGTCAGGCTGTTGAGTACGAAAGAATAAAATATTTCAATTACGCGTTGGTTCCACCTTCTTCCTATAATTTATTTGTAGAAATATATAAATTAGGTGCCCAAATATTTGGATTATTTATTTATGGAATTCTTTAGGTTGTTGACTAGGAATGATATAAATAGGAATCAAGATCTGTTGTATTTCGATTGTAGTCTTATTTATGTATTTTTAATATTTTGTTTTTATTTATGGAGTGAGATATTTAAATTTAAATTACATGATGAATAATTATTATAAATCGAGATAAGAATATAGAACATCACATCTATTGTTGTATGGTAAAACAACAAACTCTAAATTAGACTCTAACTGGGGCCACAGGCCATAAAGAAGAGCATTAAATGAACAACTCAGCCTTAAGAGCCACGTCGGCATATAGCCTTCATGAGGGTCGACTGTAAAAAGGAAGCATCTGATATGGATAAAAAGTCGCCGTTGTGAGAAGGGGACATGAAGTCGACCTCACTCATAGGTGATAACAAAGAGGTTAAAGGAAGCGTCTAAAGAGTCGAAGTTATGCAAAGATAAAAATATGAAGGATTATCTCCGAGATTCACTATTTGTAATCTAAAAATATGAAATTTAAATATGGAAACTGGCCTGATTAATTGTGATCTTCATGTTTTAAGAAACTATCCCAAAAGATAAGAGATATATCCCCGAATTTAAATAGAGAAACATGCAGGGGGTGGTGACCTAAGTTAAAATAAGGGATTATAGGTCAAAAAATCTCTAAGTCTCATTCTGAGTATTAGTTCGTATATGCTCTTTCAAAGTAGTAAATTTTCTCTCATTCTCATTGCGAACGTAACTCTCGAATCACAGGGAACTACAATAAATTTTTTGTGTTCTTGTTTTAATTTTTTTTAATTGTGATTTAAATCATTAAATTTACGTTAATCGTTTAGAAATTCGTTATTATTCGTCTATATACATTAATAGAGAATACAAATAAAAACAAGTGTGGGTAATGAAATTTTTTATTGTCATTAGTGACGGCTCTGCCGCCAAGTAAGGCATTCTAAGGTATTTGGACAACTTGGTCGTTTTCTTGACGGATAAAAGTGTGGACGGATCTGGACGTAATTAAAGTGATAATGGATGATAGGAACCTTTTTTGAATTATTTTCTAGCTACGGACAGTATTAATTCAATTATATCCCCAACAACTACATAATAAGGGAAAATCAAGGCGGCTTAGTCAACAACATACAACACATTTACAAAACATTTTTTGCATCCCTTTTTGTTTTTTTTGAACTCTTCCCTACTTCTCCAATATTTGTAAACATTTTTTTTTCTATGTAAATATATTTTCTTACGTAAAGTAAATGTTATATGCTTAGCACTTTCACATTGAGCTACAACATCGTCTTTGGCGCTTCCGGTTTCTACACCCATGTGGCACTCACCAACCCTTCAAAGTTAATATGGTGAGTGCGTGAAGGGAATTAGGACACAATAATTGAAGTGATGGCATATTGATAGGGGACTTTCTAATAGATTTTCTACTAATTAAACGACAGTAGTATTAGGCTAAAAACTACAATAAGGAAAAGTAGAGGCGACATTAAGATTCAAATAATACTAAATGATTTAACAGACGTCATAGCAAAACGATTTAATAGACGAAATCAAAGACTGAAGGAAGGAAAAAAAAAAAAAAAAAGAGCTCATGAAAATATTTTATTATGTTATAGAAATTACAAACACTTACGGACTTATTTACACAGGTCTCCTTCCTAGATAATATCGCCGCTGTGACGAATCTCCACAGTAATGCAGTTTAGCATGCACCATACGTCTTCTATTCACCTGATAAAATTCCTTCGCGGCAGAACTTCCTTCCGAAAGTAACAAGTCTCTCTCGAAAGGCGTAATGATTAACACTCAAAGACGTTCAAAAGCACATACATATCTTTGAATATTTGTCTATAAAAACTCTCAAACTCAAAGACGTTGTCTCAGAATGTTTTCTTTATTAAAGCCGTACAAAGTGAGCTAAATGCAAGTCCGTAAAATAAGGTCTCTAAAACTACTAGAGAATCTCTCCCTCAAAGATCTTTTCTTTTCTCCACAATTCTCTCTTAGATTATTTCCACAAAATTTTTTTCCTTCCGAAAGTAACAAGTCTCTCTCTCGAAAGGCGTAATGATTAACACTCAAAGACATTCAAAAGCACATACATCTCTTTGAATATTTGTCTATAAAAACTCTCAAACTCAAAGACGTTGTCTCAGAATGTTTTCTTTATTAAAGCCGTACAAAGTGAGCTAAATGCAAGTCCGTAAAATAAGGCCTCTAAAACTACTAGAGAATCTCTCCCTCAAAGATCTTTTCTTTTCTCCACAATTCTCTCTTAGATTATTTCCACAAAATTTTCTTCTTAAAATATCTAGGCAATCTCACCAATAAAATATCTCTAATTCTCTCAAAAAAACATCACACATAATCTCCTTTTAAAGTAACTCCACAAGAAAATCTCTCTAAAAAATCTTCTATAATTTTTTTCTCAAAATAAAATCTCCACGAGTTTATATGCTTCATTATCTCACTTAGAATTCCTCTAAACACACGGATCAGATAAGCCTCCCTTTAATTTGAAACACCAAATCCCATTTGAACTTTAAACTAAACCCAATGCTTTAGTCTACTCACACCACACCTCCACGTTTGTTTGTAGTATTTTAACGTTCAAATTCTAAAGTTTATCTCACGTAAATCACTAACCAAGTCCAGCCAAATCATCTCCAATAAATTCAAATATGCAACTCTTAAACTTGAATTTAAATCTTCTCCACGTCATATTCGGATTACTTCACAAAAAGAATCTTCTGCAATCCGAAATGTTCTTGAACCTATTTTTTGAATTTTTATAGGATTACCAATAAATAGCCAACTAATAAAACAATATCCCCTTTGGTATTTTTTGGCCTAAAAAGATTCCAAAACGAAAAAAATTGGAAAATTACATTGTTCTCCCCCTTTTTATAAAAAATAAGCCAAAGACACAAAGAAATAAAAATAAAAAAGAAATTCACACCCTAATCACATCTTCAGCAGCTGATTTCGCAAATCATGTTTTGACACTTGTTGCAACACTCTATGCAATACTTTGCACCAGATATCTTCGAAGGCATTGATCTCTGTAGCTGACTCCCCTTGAATATTCTTTGTGTCTTAGTCCTTCCTGAATGTAGTATTCTCCCATGTATAATGCTCTTAACACCTATCAACCCCTTAGTGCAACCACCATCACAATACCCATTATTAGTAGTACATGTTTTTGAAGAAGTATAAACTTTATGACATTTCAAATCAGATTTTCTTACCCACACACGTCTAGGAAATTTATCTTGCACATCAATATTCATTTTAGGCATCCTTCTTACGGAATTCGATGGATTATAAGGAGCATACCTCTCTTCAAAGCATTCAAATACTTATAGCAACTTGGTCTTATGTGGCCAGGTAAATCGCAGTAAAGGCATGTGGGGAGGAGCCTTTTATGTTGAGAGAGTGAGATAGTAACCTTCTTACTGGGAGTAGTCGGAGGCTTAAGAGCAGGCGTCTCACTCACAAACACTATATTGGACTTTGAGCTCTCGCCAGTATAGCCAAGGCCATGATGATCACCACTCAATTTTCCTAACGAGAGAATGCGATCTAATTTTGCAATGCTAGAATTCATCATCTTTAATAACTTTTGAGTGTGCTTAAATTTAGCGCTTGTCTCCTGTAACTTTCTCTCTTTTTTAACAGTCTAAAATTAATAGTTCACAGCAACCCTCTTAAGCACATCATTCTCTTTGATAAGCTCATCGACTCGCTCCTGCAAAGACTTATTCATTTTAATTACCAGGACCCATTTGTTAAACATGGTTTCATAAGCTTCCTGGATTGTCTCCTTTGTCAGTTCTTCAGCGTCACTTGAACTGTGAGAATCTGAAAAATCTGTGACTTCTTCTGGTTTTTCAGAGTATGTTGCAGATTGTGTTGTATCAGAGTTTGAGACACGCTCTGTATGTAACACTAATGTTTCAAACATCTTGATAGGCATTGAATGCAACATAGTTGTTCACATGATCATCATCTTCCTGGCCACCTTCAAAATCCTTATCACTCCATGAGACATTGAGTGATTTCTTCATCTTCATCTTCTCTTTCTTCTTAAGAGTGTTAGCACACTTAGACTGAATATGGCTATAAATGTCACATTCTCGAATTGGACAACTCTATTTTTCGTCTTCACTTATGAGTTGTTTGCTGCAACTTTGTTTTTCTAGAAGTTGTTGGTGTTGCCAAAGAATGGGGCTATTCCCTTACTATTCATATTGGTCATAACCTTGTTGAAATTCTTCAACAATCCTGCAATGGACTCGGCCAAGTCTTCTTCGTCATCGAAATCTGTTTCTTCAACTTCGAGTTGGAAAGCAATTCCATTCTCCTTTTTACCTTTCTCCTTCTTGTTTTGATCTAGGTTCATTTCATACGTCTACATAGAGCCCATTAACTTGTCAAGCCTCATAGAGTCAACATCATTTGCCTCTTTAATGGCAGTGACTTTGTAGACGAATCTTGGGGACAACGATCTCAACGCCTTCTTGACCAGTTTTGCCTCAGGAATTTTTTCTCCAAGAGTAAATGATTCATTAGTT